CCTATTTATCAACAACAATATAATGAATTACGAAGCATATATACTGAACCAAATTAAAAACTTCACAATCCTAAAATTTTAACATTTTGACCAGTTATCATTGTGGGCCCTTATTGTGTATTTAAACAGTAATGGCCACGTATTGTCTTCAGATAACACCCGTTTTTGTGCAGGTGAATCGATCAAAATCATGTGCACAGCACTATAATGGCAAACGTGGTTTTTCACGTGCAATTGGTCACGTGGCCATAATACCGCACGTGTTTTCAGCCATACTTGTTAGCAGTCATTAACAAAAAAAGAAAAACACAAGAAAACAAAAGTCTTTACGGCCATTTGTCATACCACGCCTTTCAAACGTGCAACGTGAACGTGCCATCGGCTTGTTGCAGACGGGGACTTCCGTAGCTGAAGTCGCAAGGACGATGGGTTGTAGTCGACGGACTGTTTATGTTTTACGCCGCTTCTAGCAATATTCCAGCAATATCACGGCCGGGGACACAAGAAATGGGCTTCACACATTGTACCCATGTCGGGAATCGAACCCGGGTCTTCGGCGTGACGAGCGAACGCTTTAACCACTAGGCTACCCGACCGCCCCGTGATGCTGTAGTTATACCAATACTCAAATCCAGTTGAGATCATACAGACCCTACATATGTTCTACCAATGTCATTGACAAGCTCCGTTTGTAAAACCATGGAACGCATGAAAAATAATCAATTAGTTTGGTACTTAGAAACCAATAATCTCATAACTAACATACAATGTAGTTTCAGGAAAAACAGAAGTACGGTCGATCATTTGGTTCGCTTAGAATCAATTGTTAAACATGCAATAGTAACTAAACAACATGCAGTGTCTATCTTTTTCGATCTCGACAAAAGCATATGACACTGCATGGAAACCTGGTATTTTAGAAGATTTACATGATTTTGGATTGCGAGGCCGTTTGCCTCAATTCCTATCCGAGTTTTTTAACCGACAGGCAATTTCAAGTCCCTGTGGGTTCTACCCTGTCTGATTATCATACATGGGGTCATGGTGTCCCACAAGGCAGTATCTTGTCTGTCACACTATTTAGCATTCAAATCAATAGCCTATCAAAACTTTTAAATGATTCAATTGATGGATCACTTTTTGTGGATGATTTTAATATTTCCTGTCGTGGTAAAAACATTCATACAATTGATCAATGCTTACAATACACGGCAACTGCAGCTATGTTTAAATAAAATCCAGAAATGTTTTTTGGAAAATGGATTTAAATTCTCAAAATCTGAAACAAAGTTAACTGTATTCATGTTTGTATAAAATATAAACCGCACAAAGATCCGAAACTAATTTTAGATAAAGTTCCTGGGTATAATTTTAGATCACTATATGACTTTTCTTCCTCACATTAAATATTTGAAGAATAAATGTCTGAAGGTCCTGGACTTACTTAAAGTAGTCTCACACTACATGTGGGGAGGAGATCGAAAACCCTCCTTCAACTATATAGAGCACTTATCTGCTCCAAGCTACATTAGGGCTCCATCATTTATGATGGAGCTTGTAAAAGTAATTTAAATATTCTAGATCCTATTCAACATCAAGGCCTGAGGCTTTGATTTGGAACCTTCTCAACTTCGCCATTACAATGTCTGTATGTGGAGGCTGATGAGCCATCCCTTTAACAACGTCGCATTAAATTCTCTTTGCAATATATATTTAAGTTACGTTCTTAGAAATCCAATCCAGTTTATGACTGTTTTTATTCCTCTATACGAAAATCTCTACCCAACAAAATCATCTCTAATTCCACCTCTTGGAACAAGAATTCAATGTCATATTTCTGCTGCGCAAAAACATCTTGCAAACATTGCCCCCACTCAGCTTTTCTCATCACCACCATGGCAGTTTGTTAAGCCAGAGGGGACCTAACTAACTAAACTAAAGAAACCTGACACGTATCAACCTATTTATCAACAACAATATAATGAATTACGAAGCATATATACTGAACCAAATTAAAAACTTCACAATCCTAAAATTTTAACATTTTGACCAGTTATCATTGTGGGCCCTTATTGTGTATTTAAACAGTAATGGCCACGTATTGTCTTCAGATAACACCCGTTTTTGTGCAGGTGAATCGATCAAAATCATGTGCACAGCACTATAATGGCAAACGTGGTTTTTCACGTGCAATTGGTCACGTGGCCATAATACCGCACGTGTTTTCAGCCATACTTGTTAGCAGTCATTAACAAAAAAAGAAAAACACAAGAAAACAAAAGTCTTTACGGCCATTTGTCATACCACGCCTTTCAAACGTGCAACGTGAACGTGCCATCGGCTTGTTGCAGACGGGGACGTCCGTAACTGAAGTCGCAAGGACGATGGGTTGTAGTCGACGGACTGTTTATGATTTACAGACGCGTCTACAGCAAACGGGTACCACCGCTGATCGCCCTCGGCCAGGTCGACCACGTGTGACGTCACATGCAGAGGATCGTCAGATTGTCTTACGTCACCTCCGTTACCGATTTTGGACGGCTACATCAACCAGAAATGAACTGTTTAGGGGTAGACTGAGTGCGCAAACTGTTCGAAACCGTCTGAGAAATGCTCACCTTCAAGCACGACGGCCATACTGCGGGCTGATTCTGACTCAATTACACAGACGTCAACGTCAGTTGTGTGCAAAGCGAATCTTACGATGGAATTGGAATCAAGTTGTCTACAGTGATGAATCCCGATTTAATCTTCGATTTGCTGATGGTAGAGCGAGGGTGTGGAGGCGCCGTCATGAACGTTACGCCCAGTGTTGTGTACAGGAAGTTGACAGATTTCGAGGCGGAAGTGTGGGGTGCTCTCTGTGGCAATGCACGTTCCAGGCTTCTTGTCATCCGTGGCAACCTCAACGCTGCTGCTTACCGCGACAAGGTACTGGCACCAGCGCTTCTGCCTTTTATGGCAGCACATGGACCCGGTTTGATCTTCCAACACGACAATGCCAGACCCCACACAGCAATTTTGTCAAGGAATTTCCTTCAGAATGCGGGAGTCAACGTCATGGACTGGCCGTCAAGGTCTCCCGACCTCAATCCCATCGAACACGTCTGGGATGCTCTTGGCAGAAGTCTGCGCACTCTCCAGAACTAACCACAGAATTTGCAAGATCTTTGCACCATTTTGCAGCAACAATGGCGCCGTCTTCCCAACCATGTGTTCACAAGCATCACAAGGTCCATGCGGAGGCGTTGTGTGGCAGTTGTCAACGCACATGTTGGCCATACACGCTACTGAACTTGTGGGCCATCAGATTCTCGTGCTTGGGATTTATGATTTAAATTGTTGATGTTATTACCGAATACCGTAGGTGCTTTGAACAAATTATGGTTACCACCGTTAATTAAAATCCTGCTTTGGACTTTAATGATTAAAAATTACCTTCTCTGATACATTTGTCCGTTGTATATCATATATGGGATTACTTTTAAAAATGTGAAGTTTTTAATTTGACTCAGTATATGATACTTACAAATCTATATTTACAGATGGATCCAAAGCTGGTGATGCTGTTGCCAGCGCCACTGTCATTGGATCCAGAACTATCTAATACCTATTACCAGACAACTTTTCTATTTTAACAGCACTTAAATACATCAACAGCTAATCTAAACATAATCTAAACAGTTCATATTTTTTCAGATTCTCTTTCTGTCCTCCAGGCTATTCAAGACATTTGATTCACGCATAATAGAAATTGTTGAATTGAAAAATGATCTTGCAGCTTGCTGGCCAATGCGACATCGTTTTCTGTTTGTTACCCAGCCATGTTTGAATCACTGAGAACGCAATGGCAGATGCTGCTGCAAAAGCAGCACTCAACAAATCTGTGACGCCACTTCGTATCCCATACACCGATATCAAACCTCTCATCAGATGCTACATCCGAGATCTGATGCAAAGGAAGTGGTACACCCAAGTAGGTATCATAAATTACATGAAATTAAACCAAATATCGGTTACACCTCCTTAGGCTGTCAGTCCAGATTTGAAGAGGTCATAATACATGCTTGACTGTATTGATTTTGCTATCAAAAGGGATAAATATTTCAAATCATCATCTCACAAGGATCTTTTTATAAATGTTAGTTTCGATTTAATTATACACGTTCATTTTTTTAAAAAAAACTGTAGTGTGTCATAAAGTTTGAATAGTAAGTCCTGTATAGAATAAATTACCTTTTTAATATTTGAAGAATAAATTTGATAACCAAGATTGTCAGTGGCTGTACCCTCGATGGGGGTTGACGTAGTGTAAAACGATTGTCCCCCCAGAGATGGAATGCCAGACCACGTCATTCCAAGTATATTTATTACTGCCACTTTTAATTGCAGAATATGTGTTCTTTTAATTCGGCTAAATTGGTCACTAGTCGCCAACACCTGAAGGGATGATGTAAATATTGCTAGGGTCAATGCAGGTAGCAAAAGTACTGTAACTCCCCATGGTCCCTGGTGAGGTGATCTACCTTCAGTTGCAGGCGATCTATAGCCTGTTTTATACTGTATCGTTACATATTGTTTGTTTGTTGTTTAACGCCGCACTCAGCAATATTCCAGTTATATGACGGCGGTCTGTAAATAATCGAGTCTGGACCAGACAATCCTGTGATTAATATCATGAGCATCGATCCAGGCAATTGGTTGGTTAGTTGGTTGGTTGGTTTTTTGATTAACGCCGCACTCAGCAATATTCCAGCTATGTGACGGCGGTCTGTAAATAATCGAGTCTGGACCAGACAATCCAGTGATTGATATCATGAACATCGATCCATCGAAGCGTTCGCTCGTCACACAGAAGACCCATGTTCGATTCCTGACATGGGTACAATGTGCGAAGCCCATTTCTGGTGGCCCCCTGCCGTGCTATTGCTAAAAGCGGCGTAAAACCATACTCACTCACTCAATCTATAGAGAAACTTAAACTCCAAGTCTATACTCACACCAGCCCATGACAATGCACATCCAGAGTAATTTCTTCTCCTTGCTGAACGCCATGACAATAAGCGTATGCAGAAAGAAGCCCTCGCACACCATCCAGCAGTAGTTGCACACAGTCAGGTACTGAGTGAACACATGTAAAGCTTGACACCAACCCTGAAACGAATAACAACATTGTTATGTAGGTAAGAACTATTTCAATCTGGGCAAATGAAATTAAAGTTAGTTTGAGTAAATACTGAATAAGAATACTTGTACCTCAGATCTTGCAAATATTGTGTTGTGAAATATAATTGTTCCGCCGACTTCTCGAAAATATTACGTTGTGAAATATAATTGTTTGGCAGACGTCTCGAAAATGTAAGTTATGAAAAATAATTGTTCGGCAGAAGTCCTGCGAATATGGCATTTGAAAAAACCGTTTGCTCAACAGACATCTCGAAAATATTGCGTTGTTAAAAATAATTGTGCAGCAGACGTCCCGCAAATGTTACGTTATGAAAAACGATTGTTACGCAGACGTCTCGAAAATATTGTTGTGAAATGCCTTGATGCAGAAAGAGAAACCTTCCTGTCGCAGTCTATTCTCAAGCATATGAAATGGTCGGTCGATAAGTCGAATTGACGACGAAGTGAATAAGAGGGCAATAAAATGCCAATAAGCCGTGTATTTGCTTGGCGCTTTCGACCATTAAATGGACCAATCCCTGTACAATCCCTTGGTGAACGATGTAAGATTCCTCGATTAAGCTGTCGCTGGTGTAAGCCTGCAGATTAGTTTTGTTTGTTTGTCTGTACATAATCGGCGGTCTGTAAATACTCGAGTCAGGACCAGACAAGCCAGTTATTGACATCATGAGCATCACCCACACAATTGGGATGGATGACATGCATCAACCAAGTCAGCGAGCCTGACCCCCGATCCCGTTAGTCGCCTCTTACGACAAGCATGGTCTCTGGAGTATTTTAGGAGCTAAAACGATTTACTGATGATCTGTACCGGACGAAGATCGATAGTCGTTCTAAATATGAACTGTCGAATTACGTGTGTGAGTTGTGTTCAACGCCGCTTAGAATAGTATTCCAGTTAAATCACGGCGTGTTTGCTTAATGTTGGAGGAAAGCCGAAGTAATGCCACGAGCAAAGTATGGTGCTGACAAATCGTAAAAGGCGACTAACGGGATCGGGTGGTCAGGCTCGCGGACTTCCTTGATTGCGTGGATCGATGTTCATGATGTCAATCACTGGATTGTCTGGTCTAGAATATTGCGAAGTGCGGTGTTAAACAACAAATAAACAAAGACACTGTCTGTGGGCAAATGAATAGAGAATACTTCACTTAATCCCGCCAGATACCGTTACGAAACGTGTGGACTTTCTATGGTATCTGTACACGAGTTTCGTAAAAACGGCATCTAACGAGTATGGGTGTTAATACAAAACTTTCGTTTGTTGACAGACCAAACTGAAACCGGTTGCAAAATCTGGTTGCGCATGAATATTGAGTGAGAGAGTTAACATTTAACATTGTTGTTAAAACGCAGGACACCTTTAAGATAAGTTAAATAGTCACATTAGCGCCGCGCTTTGAATATCGCACCAACGGTCGTTCGCTCGCTCGCACTGTAGGGGAAATCAGAGTGTTCGCCAAAGATATTCATGTTAACTGTACAACCTAACTGAAGACGTGAAAATCAACTAACTCAAAGTCTGCTTGCATGTCAGTGACAGCTTCGAACGAAGGGCAAGGTCGCCACCGGAATAGTTGGTTGGTTGGTGTTGTTGTTTTACGCCGCACTCAGCGATATTCCAGCTATATGACGGCGGTCTGTAAATAATCTCGGGGAGGTCGGGTAGCCTAGTGGTTAATGCGTTCGCTCGTCACGCCGAAGACCCAGGTTCGATTCCCGACATGGGTAAAATGTGTGTCCCCCGCCGTGATATTGCTGGAATATTGCTAAAAGCGGCGTAAAACCATACTCACTCACTCACCCTGTAAATAATCGAGTCCGGACCAGACAATCCAGTGATTGATATCATGCAATTGGGATCGATGAAATGCATCAACCAAGTCGCGAGCCTGACCACCCGATCCCGTTAGTCGCCTTTAACGACAAGCATAGTCGCCTTATACGGCAAGTAAGGGTTGCTGAAGACCTATTCTACCCTGGAATCTTCACGGGTCTTAAGCAGATATTCGTTGGTAATCCGACTGTGGCCAATACGACATCGTCGTAAAACGACCTCGTCATTTCTCTGACTTACAACCAAGTAGGTATGACCGATTGTTGGTTTTAATTCGTGAAGTTTAATGCTTAAAACTTCAAGATAATAACTTGAAAATTTAACTTAGTATCTTGAAATTTGAACTGATATATCTTGAAATTTCAAAATAATAACTTCAACTAAGTATCTTCAAGAAAAAAGGGGCGGTCGGGTAGCCAAGCGTTCGCTCGTCACGCCGAAGACCCGGGTTCGATTACCGACATGGGTACAATGTGTGAAGCCCATTTCTGGTGTCCCCCGCCGTGATATTGCTGGAATATTGCTAAAAGCGGCGTAAAACCATACTCACTCACTCACTCATTCAAGAAAATAATGAACCAAATGGCCCTAAAAGGCTTCCGTATGCTATAGAAGAGACACATCGACTGTCTTGATAACCTCATCAGACCATCAAACTACATACGCCACACGCGCGACTCTGTTCATCAGCTGACTGACAGCTGAGAAGACGATAATGAACCCAGATCTCGCGAGGCGGTCATACAAATGTTATCTCGTCTGGACATCAGGAGAAGACCTCTGTGGAAGCAGAACAGCTTGACCTCGGTTTCAAGGGGGTCTAAAGATTGTTTTTTAGTTTGTTTGTTGTTTAACGCCGCACTCAGCAATATTCCAGCTATATGACGGCGGACTGTAAATAATCGAGTCTGGACCAGACAATCCAGTGATTGACATCCAGAGTATAAATCCACCACGCAATTGGGACACGATGACATACATCAACCAAGTCATTTACCAAGTCAGCGAGCCTGACCACCCGATCCCGTTAGTCGCCTCTTACGACAAGCATAGTCACCTTTCACGGCAAGAAATGGTTGCTGAAGACTTATTAAGCATTGGGTCCAAATGTGTGCAGATCCGGGGTTGAAAGGGCTTCAGCAAACCATGCTTGTCGTACGAGGCGACTAATGGGATCGGGTGGTCAGGCTCGCTGACTCGGTTAAAGCACGCCATCGATCCCAATTGCGTAGATCGATGCTCATGATGTCAATCACCGGATTGACTGGTACAGACTAGATTATTTATTTACACACCGCCGTCATATAGCTGGAATATTGCTGTGTGCGGCTTTAAACAAATTATCAAAATCCCATGATAGATGAACAGCTCAAAACACTGAATCCCTCTGGTAATAAATGTTTCCCACTCATTTTTGTTCAGCTGCAGCTGTCTGTGTTTTATGTGACACTACTGACATTCAAAACAACTTGCGTCATGTTCGGGCTGGTGTCTCCCGCGCAAATATCAAGTACTTACGACTTTATTCACGTTTGTTAGTGCGTAAGTTTTTATGTTACAGTCCAAGTAAATCCAGTCAATGTACAAAATACTTGAAAATTCAAGTCAATTACACTTCGCTTGAATGAGGGTGCCAACCCCTACCCTCAGGACGTCTGGCATTCCCCTTAATTTGTCATATCAGTATGCACAGCTTGCAGAAGTCAATTATACTGGAATATTCACACACAATTCATGACCACGCGTACTTATAATAATAACCCAAGGGCTAAATATTTGATTGATTTGTCATTTTTTTCAAGAAGTGAAATTGAAATATTGACATCCCCGCACTCCACTTAACAGAATTGGCTACCCCTTTGAGTCACCATGTCACAATAGACGTTACCTGATTTGTTTGTGTGTTATTTCACGCCGCACTCAGCAATTATCCAGCTATTATTCCGACAGAGAAATGAATATTTAACCCCAACCCTGAATTAGGGGAGAAAGTTGGGTTTTTTAAATGCTGGATTTGTTTAATGATGTATTCTATATTATGGAACTGACTGATGACACATCTTTTGGGCATTTTGAAATATTAAAGATGGCCGACAAGATGGCCGCCGAAACATGAAAATATAGCTTCTTTGCTAATAGTATGGAATATGGAACTACTTTTGGTGCATATCACTCAAATTGTGCCTTCAACTAATTAGAATATGTTATTCTAAATGAACTGGTATCACTTAAAACATAATTTGAATGTTAAATAAGCAAGATAATTGCCAAAATGGCTGCCGAAATATTATAAAAATCAACAAATACGTGATTCTTTTAGGAATACTAATTATTCTGAACTTTTAAAGGTGAATATTGGTCAAGGATTTCTGCACATATATCAGTCAGTTTAGGTTTCTTCCTCATCATCAATAACATGGTTAGTGAGTGGGTTGAAGCCTACACTGGAGCTACAGGAGCAGGATACTGTGAAAGGTAACTCGGCGTGACTGCAGCCACATTGCTTTGTCCTCCACGGTGTATCACTGCCACATGTTGGTTGGTTGTTTTGATGTTTAACGCCGCACTCAGCAATATTACAGCTATATGACGGCGGTCTGTAAATAAACGAGTAATATCACGAGCATCGATCCACGCAATTGGGATCGATGACATGCATCAACCAAGTCAGCGAGCCTGACCACCCGATCCCGTTAGTCGCCTTTTACGACAAGCATTGTCACCTTTTTACGGCATGCATGGGTTGCTGAAGACCTATTCTACCCCGGAATCTTCACGGGCACTGCCACATGTAAACTTCACAAATATAAAATATATTTCAAAATATATTGTGGTAGTACAGTCACTGGAAGTAGGCACTTTGATGTAATTTCTTTATGGAAACCAAACTGGGTTGTAACCATTGCACAGCCTTCCACACACTGGTTTTGAGATGTGCCCGCTTCTCGTTTTCCAAAAAGCCATCTGTTGGCGTTAAAGTTGCGAGCTTGGGAATTTGAGAACAGCCTCTTCAAGTTTTGGTAGCCCGAACGTGTAAGCGAGCTTCTGTGACAGATGTGCAGTTTGGTTTGCCGTGAATTGCGCTGCTTGTAAAGAGATTACGAGTAAATATGCTGTAGGATCTCCATGC